CAAGCCTAGAGAATTGAGGCGAAAAAGGCTTAGAAAAAAAGTTAATCGTTTATGTCCAGACCCTAAGAAGAGAAAGTATTAAAGCTAAAATTCACAGGAGAATTTAGCTCAGAGGGAGGTGATATAATGGAATATGCGTACACCTAGTTCCCCCTCAGTGGAATATGATTGGCTGGTGTCCGTCATAAATACCGACGGACGTGTAGGAGAGTCAAGAGCCTTAGTCTGAGAGCTAAGTCTATAACGACGCCCATTGGACTACGCCATTGATCTACACTTCTTACCTGCGACTACGACGCGTACCAGTCGATTACTGCTACCGTATTCTACTTGGTTATAGTAGCCAAAACCACTTAGCTACTTCGTTCAAATATATACCTTTCCGGGACATATCAAGGTTTAAATATCAGCAATATATTTTTGAAAAAAAAAATATTACCAGCAATACGTTTTTGTAAAAATATCACCAGCAATGAATTTTTGAAGGAAAAAAATGTTACCAGCAATATATTTTTGAAAAAAAAAATTACCAGCAATACATTTTTGAAAAATATATTACTACCAATAAAAATCTTGTTGGCATTAAATAATCCATTGAAGGTGATATGCCGCAAAACTAGAAAAAAAAAAAGAAAAACTACAATTATTATTGGCGGACATGACCGTAACACCATATGACATGCAGTTGTTGATAGAAAACACAGAAAGGAAAATACAAAAACTCTTAGAGAAAAGGAAATGGAGAAGAAAATACCATCAATTATAAAAGAAATTCAGAAGAAAAAAACATCAATTATAAGTAGACCGATTGTATGGTTGCCAGCACGAGGGATATCTCAAGATATAAATTACGAATCAAAGATGCCAAAATCAAATACACCCTTGTGCAAATTAATTGAAACAACCACTTTAGTTTCTTTCATCATACGGTCAGTTTTAGACCCACTGGAGTGATAAGGTGTTATTGGTTTCTATTTTTACCTCAGATTAGGTCTTTTGCAGTGGTGGATAGTAATATGTATGATATTTATCACGCCCAGGCACTGTTGTCTCCACTGTCGATTAGTTGTCCTATAGCCATTGTCTGCAATGGACGTTACTCCAAGGAAGCGTATGAAAATTGTAACGTTGCACGAACAGTGAGCAAATCAGAGTACTACAGACTGGCCCGGAAACTGTCCTAATTTAAATCCAATCGAGAATCTATGGTCAATCTGCAAGGAACGATTTCGTGGGATCGATATACGAAGTATTAACATGGGCTCTGGGTCATGTTTCATTGGGAAAATTCGAAAACAAAAAGTAAATAATAACGGAATTATTCGTTTTGTATCAATAAATTTGTACAAACGTGTATATACGAACATTTAGATATCTGTTTTAACGGAGGCTAAAAAATACGAAAACCGGATTGGAGTAGCGAAAGACGCCTACCAAAAGCTAAGCAAAGTATTAAGAAACATGAAAATATCGTTAGAAACAAAGAAAGGAGTGCTAAACTGTTATGTAATATCGGTCCACCTTCATAGCAGTGAATACTGAACAATCTCCTCACAAATAAAGAGCAAATTTGAAGCCACAGACATGTGGTTCCACAGAAGGATGCTGAGAATGCCATCGTCTGAACATGTGACTAAGGAGAAATATTTGAGGAAAACAGATTCAAAGAGGATGTTTATACATAGAATCAGAAAGAGACAGTTGAAATTTCTAGGGTGAAACTTCTATGATGAGGAAAGACGGCTTGGAAAATTTGATACTCACAAAAGTGACAGCGAATAATCAACCAAATGAACCCGTGTAAAGGGTTGGCAGAATAGGGACTGGGAGGAACGGTTAATAGAAATCGTTACTAAGACCTACAAAAGATAGGAAGTTGTGGAGAGCCATTATCGCCCATGTCTTCAAAAAGAAATCTTTATTTAACAACTTGTCAATGATGGTGATTTTCTAAGCGTAGTTTAGATGTGGCACAAGGCCGAAAGTTAGGGGCACCCAATGAGGATCAAACTCACTACTCAAGCGTAACTGTTCTAGCGAGATAAGCTTGCTAACCATTACACCACGTCAAAGTGCCCAAACTGATTTTCTAAGCGTAGCTTAGATATGGCACAAGGTCGAGAGTGTGGAGCACCCAGTGAGGACTGAAATCGCTATATGACGTAACATGGTTACGCCACTATTATGCAGAAACCAAACAAAAGTCGATGCATCGACAGAATTCTGGTCTGAATGCCCGAGAAATTTCGTAGAAAATATCTCCTCCGACAGGAATAGAACTTGTATCCTACACGGAACTGTCATTTGGTTTGACGTGCTGTACTATTTAGCTACAGAGGCAACTTCAACCAGATATGATCGTTCGAGGAAAATAATTGTTATTTAAAAACAGTAATCTGATTTTGCTCACTAGCAGCTAAATAACACATTAGATACAGGTTTGATTTCATGTCGGAATTTCTCGGACATTCAGGCCGGTAAATGTAGTTAATACTTTTATTATGAACAGAGCATTTACTTAAAAATAAGTATGTATAAAAATAACGTATAAAAAAAAATGTATTAAAATAAACATCTTAAAATATTTGTCATGTATTTAGTCCATTTGTAATATATTTATATATATATATATATATATATATATATATATATATATATAATAATAAAATAACGACGTTAAAAAAACATTTATGCAATGCGTTTCGTTCCTTAAAACTTACCTTGTTAAAAAAAAGTTTTACATCTTTTTTAATTAATATTGTTTTACATGTATATTATATTTTATATGTGAATTTCTGCACACGCAGATAAATATATATATATATATGTGTGTGTGTGTGTGTAAAAAGTGTGTATATAAATATAAATAAATATATATATGTATAATTATTTATATATTATATGCGCGGTTCACTTATTTCGAAATACAAGCAATATCAGAGATAGAGCTAACATATTTGGTTGATTGATGTGAGTCTGTGACCCTGGGTTTCGCTCAGTGACGATCGCAAAACGTGAAACCCAGGTTCACAGACTCTCATCAATCCAAAATACATATATATATATATATATATATAAACATATATATATATATATATATATATATATATATATATATATATATACAATATAGAGATATATATATATATATATATTTTATATTTAATATATATGAAGTTCGAATTCAGTCGACTCCATTACATTTACGTGCTAATACTCTTAAAAAAAAGGCATGAATCCTCTTCTCCTCCCCCCAGTTATAGGTAAATAGTAGGGCAGACTGGGTTCTATAGCCTTGGACGTCAACTGGTGTAAGAGAAGGAAAACCTGCGGAGGGTCGTTTGGGGACCTTGTGGCACTCTGTGCACCAGGTCTCTGTATTCGGCCCTTCAAAAAGTGTGGATGGTTTTACACGAGACCTTCACCGCTATAATAGAATCATATGTGCTGGTGTCTGGGCTGTCGGTTTCCTAGGAACTGAGCAGCTTGACCCTCATACGTCGAATTCGACGGGAGAGTCGAATATAGTGAACTCTCCCGTCAAGCAGTCCAGGACATGATTTGATGAAGGCTTTGTGCAGAACCAACTACGTGCCAGAAGGTCCCCAAACGACCCTTCGCGGGTTTTGAATTAAGAGTTAGCACTTAAGTGAATGTAATGAACTTGACTGGAATTCGAACTCTCTCAGTCCGCTCGCCGATTCCTCACTAAAGAATGCTATCCATTAACTACCGTACCTGCCTTTCCCTATTTTTCTCTCCTCTCTCTCTCTCTCTCTCTCTCTATATATATATATATATATATATATATATATATATATATATATATATAATAAAAAGGAATTAAAACACAATATTCCATTGTCAATTTTATTCCATTGGAATCGTAAATACGATCCAATTCATTTAAACCTTTTTTTTTATATCCTTACTCTGTCCTGGACATTGAGTTCTACCTGGATTCTTCCTCTTGGAATTTTTATTCTAAAAATATACATGTGTGGGTATTTATATATTTCGCATACGTATGTATATTTACCACTAATATTATCTATCTATCTATCTATCTATCTATCTATCTATCTGTGTGTGTATTTAGGTAGAAATCCTTCATTTATAGATATTTCGTTAAAGACGACAGACAAGGTACTATGATTAAGCTTTTCATTTAATTTTGTTGTGATCGAACAAGTGTTTTTGTTGTGGCCTGTTTAGGGGTCAGAAAGAAAGACGCGGAAAACGGAAGGTAGGATTGAACAAGTGTATTGAAATAACAGATATATACAAAGCAAAAGTGTTCGCAATAAGCAGATAGAGGTGTACGTCCGAACGGTAGGTTAACACTGCGTCTCTGCTCCCGAATCGACTGCTCTAGGAAGTCTCGTAGTTAGTATTTACGAGAGGAGGAAAAGTTCATTCTAAGGTAGGAGGGTTTACCAGAATTTTCTCTTCTGTTCCCATAGTGTGTAGAAACTGTTCAAATGTTCTGTAATTCTGAGCGCTTTCGGCTCTACTTTTACCCATTATCAACAATGATTTTATTTTTGCTTTTTAATTGGGTGTATGGGTTGTGTGTATATTTCTATGTTTTATTTTCCGAACACAGCACATTCTGGCCGTGTTCGTAGTTAATATTACTAAATATTGGCTTTTTCTTTTTTTATTATTAAGGCTTCCATTATTTTCAATCTTATTTTTTACATATGAATGAAGTTATTATGTTTGTATTTTCTAATAGTATGTTCCGGATGGAGTCTGGTAAGTTTGTGTGTGTTTAAATGGATTCTAATAGAGTTGTGGTCAGATAGGTGTAACGTTAGGCGCCTGGATAGGCATGTAGTTGTGTGACCAATGTAATTATTTATGAATTCGGTTTGATCAGGAAAATATAATTTGTTCATATCTATCTGTCCATTCAGTTATTTCTATTTAAATTCTAGTCCCTGCAAATCTAACATTCTGTATACGATCGATCGATTTTCCTATCAATATATTATCCTATGACAGTGGCCACATTGGCAAGTAGAGATCAATCAGCACTTATTTCTCTATTTACATCTCACATTAGCTCTTCTCTTTCTCTCTCTCTCTCTCTTTCTCTCTCTCTCTCTCTCTCTATCGCTATCTGTCTGTTTGTCTATCTGTGTCTCTTTGTCTACCTTTGCCCTTCAAGATTAAGCTCGACGAGAGAAATGAAATTTAATTCGCCGCAGACTCACATGAACCAAACATCGAAATGAATGCTGAAACTCCGCCGGGAAGATTTAGTCCGCGTTCTTGTGTTTCTAAAAAGAAATCGTTCGATACCTTCCCACTCAATAATCGATTAACATCTTTTTATACAAAAATTATCAATAGCTCTGCAAAAATGAAAGAAAAGAGCGGCGAGACCGAAATTGAAAAAAAAGAAAAAGAAAAAAAAACTGCCACTGACGCCATGAAAATGTCTTCTTTTTTTTTTTTAATTATTTTACGTTTCTGTTACCTACGTTCTTTCTCCATTTGTTCATTTCTTGAAATATCTGCTATTTTTGACTCCATTTGTAGCAGCAAAACAAACTCGGCATATCAAGCATGCCACCATAAAATGACTCTATCCTTAAAAAAGCATCAAACATGGCCAAAAGATTGCGTAATAGCAAAAGAAAGAAAGAATATCAATGTTTAACTAGTTCAATTAACGGTTGACTTTAGGCAGGGTTAACGAGAGAAATTAACTGGATTGATTTAACAAAATAATAATCAGATAGAAACTTTAAAATCAAGACAATTCGTTTCCTAGAGCTGAAAATTTTACAGCCAACTTTTTCAAAATTTACATAATGAAACGAAATTGTGTTGTGAAAACCGAACGACATATATAACGTACTTTTTAAAGAAGTATTTCTTCCATTTCCAACCATTGTTTAAGAATTTCCCTTTGGTTTTGTTAGGTTTTTCTCGAAAAATAAGATGAAGAAAACATTTTGAACAAATACAGACGACATTTTCTCTGCTTTGTTTTCTTTTCTTTTTTTAAAGGTTCTATTCATTTTGTATCAAATTCTTTTCTTCATTTTTTTATTTACCTTCTCTTACCTTTAATACCATTGCGAGTGCGCATGCGTGAGCAGCTTCCTGACGCTACAGATATATTTTTTTTATTTTTAATATAGATGTTTATAGATCAATGCTTATCACTATATGCTCTATGGTCTCCGCTTGTCTATTAGTAGGCGTGCGTACGTACGTTGGGACACGCATGAGCGCATACATGTATGTTGACACGTTTTCTCTCCACTGAAAAACGATTCATTTCAAGGCTCATTTTATAAACGTACGGCTGTATGCATATTGGGTATGCATCTGAGTGTGTAGAACTCGGATGTATGTAGACACAAGTTCGTGTATGTAAAATTATATGAAGCTCAGATGTGTCTGGTATAAGGTCAAGTTACTTGGTAAATCCTTCAGAATTGAACACATTCTGCAAGCAACAACGTTGGAGACGAGCTTCTTATCCTAAACTTACACCAGGCTTTCATTGAAGCTGTTTACTAAACAAGGCCGCCATTTTTTTTTAATAATAAGATACACTCAATAAAAGAAAATACTCTTAAGGTACAAGGTTAATATTGTAATACTTATAGTGAATGAGGTGTATTTAATGAATGAAACAGACGATGTTAGACTTTGGTTTGGTTTGGTTTGCTTTGTTTTATCACATATCAACCTCAAAGTGTTATTTAATGTCAACAAAAGATTTTTTGGTTTAGTTTGTTTGTTTTCTGGTGTTTTTTTTTTTTTTTTTTTTGTTGTTTGTTTATTTTACTCAATGGGTTATTTAATGTCGACAAGATTTTTATTGCTGGTAACATTTTTTTTTTCCACAAATGTATTGCTGCTAATATTTTGTTTGTAATAATTTTTTATTCAAAAATGTATTGCTGGTATTAAAACTTGCTTTTACACCTTCACGGCGTTTTGACCGCAGTTTGTGGGTTAACTATTTGTCCATAACTGGGACCCTAACAGGTGCTACCACCCCAAGTCAGGGTGGACCTAGGAACAAGAGCAATTAAGAGGTGATTCCACGTACCCCAAAACCTCCTGATCAGAAGCCTTGCTGTCGGATGTTGTTTATCGTTTTACCCAGGACGAATAAAATTGTTGAAAAAGAATTATCAAGTGTTTATCAATTTGAAAACTCTTGGACACCTAAGGGACTGTACTTCCTCTTCGGATGCCACATGGACAGATTAATGTAGAATGAAGATTTGCATTATAAAATTTTCAATGTCTTTCTAATTGAAAACTCTTGAGAGCTTTAGCAATTCAACCACCGCCGTAATGTAGCTTTGCATTTTCTAGAAATACTTTCATGGTAATTGTTCTATTTAACTTTCATCTATGGGCAAATTGTTCGGACTTCATAGTGACTTTGAGGTATTTTGGTAGCTGTAGTAAGAATGGTAATTAAGAATGTGTTGTTTTAGTGAAAGGAATACTGCAGTATGTTTGGGTCAGTAATTGTGGCTAAAATAAGACTGAAAACATTGTGCCACATTCTTGTATGAAAACAAAATAAATATTACTTTCCTGTAAGGTACCTAGACTTTATGAATTTAACCACAGTACTACATTGTCAGCAAGGTCTCATAATTTTACAACTGAAACAGCGAGATGTTAGCGTAAGTTCTATGCTAACAGTTTCTTACATTATTTACATTATTCGGACTATTGTCCTCATCTTTGTCGCCATATTTATCACAACGTTTCAGCCGATGTACACTCCGGCCTTCTTCAGGTGGCTTGACGACACTTCGCAGATATCTCTTCCGAGTAAGAGCCCCTATAGAAGAGAACATGAGCAAAGACTGTGTGTACGCTATCCCATGCAGCTGCGGAAAGGAATATAAAGGAGAGACAGGCTGCCCCCTCAAGGTAAGACTTCAAGCACACCAGAAAGCTGTAACAGGAGGGGAAGTAGAAAAATCAGGCGTGGCTGACCACATATGGAGAGAGAAGGGAGATCACCGCCCTCTGTGGGATCAGGTTGAGATCATTGACAGGGAACACCATTGGAAAATTCGTAAACTTAAGGAATCAGCACATATGCTAGGCCACAACAATCTCCTGAGCCGACCAAGCATAGAAATAAATACAATATGGGAACCAGAAATAAGGAGTGCCAGAGAATAGCAATGATAACAACATAGTTGCAATATGAGCTCTGGTAAAAACATGCAATGATAACAGCAAAATTGCAATATGAGCACTGGTAAAAATGGTTACTGAGGACATTAGGTATATAATACCCAGAAATTCATACACATATGCCCTCAAGGACACATGGCACAGTGGAGAAAGGCGTTGGTTAGATCCAGTGACAGGAGCCAAAGAGTGTGAAAACTTTCAGAGGGAAATTAACAGGAGATAACTGATAACTGACATCCATCAAACATGACACGTGGAACTAGAACAGTCTACCCCAGTGATCGAAATAAAGGGTTCAGTTCGACATTCCAACCAGAGTGTACAACGGCCGAAACATTGTGATAAATATGGCAACAAAGATGAGGACAATAGTCCGAATAATGTAAATAGAGCAGATAATACCTCATTTAAGAAATATAGACAGATACTGAAAGGCCGAAACGTTGTAATAAATATGGCGACAAAGATGAGGACAATAGTCCGAATAATGTAAATAGTGTACATAATACCTCATCTCAGAAATATAGACAGATACTGAAAGGCCGAAACGTTGTAATAAATATGGCGACAAAGATGAGGACAATAGTCCGAATAATGTAAATAGTGTACATAATACATCATCTCAGAAATATAGACAGATACTGAAAGGCCGAAACGTTGTAATAAATATGGCAACAAAGATGAGGACAATAGTCCGCATAATGTAAATAGTGTACATAATACCTCATCTCAGAAATATAGACAGATACTGAAAGGCCGAAACGTTGTAATAAATATGGCGATAAAGATGAGGACAATAGTACGAATAATGAAAATAGTGTACATAATACCTCATTTCAGAAATATAGACAGATACTGAAGGGCCGACACGTTGTAATAAATATGGCGACAAAGATGAGCACAATAGTCCGAATAATGTAAATAGTGTACATAATACATCATCTCAGAAATATAGACAGATACTGAAAGGCCGAAACGTTGTAATAAATATGGCGACAAAGATGAGGACAATAGTCCGCATAATGTAAATAGTGTACATAATACATCATCTCAGAAATATAGACAGATACTGAAAGGCCGAAACGTTGTAATAAATATGGCGACAAAGATGAGGACAATAGTCCGAATAATGTAAATAGAGCAGATAATACCTCATTTCAGAAATATAGACAGATACTGAAGGGCCGAAACGTTGTAATAAATATGGCGACAAAGATGAGTACAATAGTCCGAATAATGTAAATAATGTACATAATACCTCATCTCAGAAATATAGACAGATACTGAAAGGCCGAAACGTTGTAATAAATATGGTGACAAAGATGAGGACAATAGTCCGAATAATGTAAATAGTGTACATAATACATCATCTCAGAAATATAGACAGATACTGAAAGGCCGAAACGTTGTAATAAATATGGCAACAAAGATGAGGACAATAGTCCGCATAATGTAAATAGTGTACATAATACCTCATCTCAGAAATATAGACAGATACTGAAAGGCCGAAACGTTGTAATAAATATGGCGACAAAGATGAGGACAATAGTCCGAATAATGTAAATAGTGTACATAATACCTCATCTCAGAAATATAGACAGATACTGAAAGGCCGAAACGTTGTAATACATATGGCGACAAAGATGAAGAAAATAGTCCGAGTAATGTAAATAGTGTACATAATACCTCATCTCAGAAATATAGACAGATACTGAAAGGCCGAAACGTTGTAATAAATATGGCGACAAAGATGAGGACAATAGTCCGAATAATGTAAATAGTGTACATAATACCTCATCTCAGAAATATAGACAGATACTGAAAGGCCGAAACGTTGTAATACATATGGCGACAAAGATGAAGACAATAGTCCGAATAATGTAAATAGTGTACATAATACCTCATCTCAGAAATATAGACAGATACTGAAAGGCC